AAAAAAACCGCACGAACTTTATTGCCTGATATGACGAGATTGCTTCTTAAATGAGAGACTTCGTTAGAGAGACTCCATTAGAACTTGACTGATTCAGTAGGTGGAAAACGGACTTGTGATTCGCCAATCCCAGTCTCCCGGCAAGTCCCAGCATGCAAACGACTACAACATGTGCATTTCTGTGCTATCGCGAGACCATTTGTCCATACCCTACAGCAAAGCAACTTTGAGTGGAGCAAACCATTGGCTAGGCGGGCCTCCTCTGCGTACAACGTGCTTTATCGTTTTATCCCGCCATGTTTTCCGTAAAAACTTAGCAGTTTTGTAAAAATATAGTGGAAGCAACACTTTCCAGGTACGTGAGATCTCTGCCACCCCAAGTTGGTAAAACCATTGAACAGATTGCACCAGACTCCAATTTCCTAAAGGAGACTGAGAATGTTAAAGCCAACCTGACAGGTTAGTTATTATGCTTTTCGCTTTACCAGCACCTTACTCAAAGGATTTCTTTAGCTGAATGGGGACGAGATCTGCTAGCGAAGATGCTTGTAATTAATCCCGACAATCGATATTCTGTAGAAGAGTCGTTGAACCATCCCTATGTCAAAGTGTGGTTCAGGGTAGGTTTCTTTTTCATGCGGTGAATGAGTCTGGACGGTTCTTGCGCAAAGAAAAATTTCGTTGAAAATGCGCTATACGCCGAGGGGACGTTGCAAGTGAAGCGCTCCCAGTCGTGAGAACCGCTTGATAACGAGAAGTCGATTGCGCTGACAGGCCACTTGCGAATGAAAGGCTTACGTATTCCCTTATCTTATGCTTAATCCAGCCTTTAAGCACGGTCCGCTTAGGGGTAGGGTATTCGTGAGTGAAAATATGTAAGGGAGCTTGTCAAGTTGACTCGTTCTGTGATGAGAAAACGCCAAAGGGAACGTGTGGAAGATGGTTTTGATAGGACCCCTCCAGCCTCAAGCAAATACACTGGTAAAAGTCAGTATCACTCCTGGACAAGCCCGGTGGTTGGCTCGCTACAATGAACCCCATTACCCCAAGAAGACAATGGAGCGTCCTGTTCATGATTACTTGTCGCCCCCCCCTCCAGCCTCGCTTGTTAGACCGGAAAGGCAGACTTTGAGGGCGGAGTTTGGAGGCGCAGACTGGAAAAAGTGAGGAAACCCTGAAGCAACTTCACGCCTTAACTTCGTTACCTAACATTTTCCGCGGCGAAACTAGCACCAAGGGATTGTCCCACTGCTTGACATTTCTCCCCATATCCTATCCGCACCAGTTTTTAACCATCAGGGGGGTGGATCATCGCGGACCGTTCGTTACGACTTCTGTAAGTCCTTATCGTGAGACGGAATAGGTAGGTGTATCCTTTGAACATGGCATAGAATGGGTTCTTCGTGGGGTATTTCATTTTGAGACAACTGTCCATCTAGTTCAGCGTTGGACAGAGACAGGATCACAGTTGTGTCAAAATGAAAATATTTCACAGAAGCACAGCTACCGCCACGTTTAGTTGAAGTACGCAGCCACGCCTACCACATCCAGGGTTCCGAGTGTCCTACGCAGCCAGTTTTTATGAAGATATTCTTGCGACTGATTATGGGGCTATGGATAGTTCCTCCTCTGTCTCGATCCAAACTCCTCAACGTCCTTCATTCAGAGTACCCGTCTCTCAACCACCGATCCATCCATGATCGTTCAATGCACAAGCTTGAACCTCTTGCAAAAACAATAGTTAAGACATTATCAGAAGGACTTCGATAGACGTTCCGGAAGAGCAAGAGCTATTTGTTATACGCAAAAACGCCAGATTTATACTATCTGCTAGTTCGCTGAGGTTGAAAAGGCATGTCAGGCAGCGCGAGTGTGCCACGGCGTCAAACCGGTTCTGTGCCAGTTGCTTGAAACACGTGTGCGACACCAAATGGTAGGACACTAGTGACACGAACTGTAGGTCTTCTTTTACAGGAACTCTCTCGATTTACGCCTGTTTCGGAGAACTTCCTTTCTGGATGGAGCGAAATGATTTGCGACTATCTGACCAAACGTCTCTTCAGTCCTACTGCAGTTCACCCCAAATTAGATCATCACCCGATCCCGAGGGAGACCACTCATTGATTGACTCATTGTCCTATCCTCGAGAGCAATAGGAAGCTGGCTGTTGAGCCAAATCGGATTGCTCTTCGCCAGCCCCGTGGAAGGACAGCCCCGTGGAAGGACGGCCTTACATAGAATCTCAATTCCCGTGTGATAGTGAGGCACTTTCGGTTCATTTTGGATCGATGGCTTGGATAAAAAAGGTCCCGAGGATTTTCGCGCGAAGGTTCGTGCCTCTCGCGCCAAGACCTCAACCGCGACCCCAAATCTGCGACTCAAAAAATCTTCTCCATTATAGATTTGAGCCCTTTGGGCTCCCAAGGCAGTAGACAATCGTGACTTGTTCATTGCCATCCAGATGCTCTTTCACCCTCACGCAAAGCGGACGAGCCGTCTCGCCGATGTACTGGTCCCCACAGCTGCGACAGGTGATTTTGTAGACCACCCCTGTCATAGTACAATCACCCTCTTTGCCGGTCGGGCAGACCACACAATCGGGGTTATACATAGGCGGTTGTACAAGCCATTTCTCACCAGGTCCCACTTTACTTAACTCTAAGTTATTGTGTGGTACATCTACAATGGCTATTATGTAATCCAAACCCCCTCTTCACCTCAGACAGCTCTTGACAGAAGTGCTCACCTCATCGGAGACGAACAGTAACCTGAAAGGGATTTTGCCGCTTATCAAGCTATCCACGCGTCTGCTGTTTGCCCCACCTTTTCTGGCTTTGTGGAGCTCGAAGAGGGTTCATAACCATTTTGAACAGCTATTTCGCGTGGGACTCCTTCTGCTCCTCATCTCCCGAGGATTGATCACTATTATGTACGTGTTTCATGCACAGAAGCCAAATCTAAAACGCCTTGAAAATTCTTGATGTTGAAATATATTTCTTTTCAGAGCTGATCTACAATGAAGTGAAGCAGTTCGAAGCACAGCATGACATATTTGGAAGTTGGTAATCTGTTTATCCTCTCATCAGAAGCAGATGAAGCAGAAATGCTCTACAGAGAAACTGTTCGTCTTTTGAGGTCGCTTAAGAAACTGTTAGGGTCGTTTCTTATGGTCCCTGTCACCAAATAGATTCGCCGAACTCATTTCGTCGATAGAGAACCTTGCCTAGAGGTGATTTCCTCTCGACTTTCGAGGGAGGCGATTTCTTCCGACTGTCAATCTTTTCGAACTTCCACCTCACCTCTGGAACGGTGCTCTCTTGACCAACTTCAAGTTGCTTCTTGAGGCTGCTTTCACACTCTAGTCGTACCCATCTTTTACACATTTCCGCTCCCGTTCAGGTAAAAGTGTGGAGGCAGTTTGAGTCACAGAATTTCTTTAATGATAAGAGATTGTACGCTTACATCTCGCTAGCGATACCGATTCTGCCTACCTGTGTTAAAAAGCAAACGTACAACGATTGTATGAGAAATTCTATGTGTCTATCGGGTTACTCATCGCACCGGGTAGTTCCAGTTCAATTGTTATTTGAATGGTTGAGCTGTCGTTCAGAATAGTCGAGCTCATGCTCAACGTTAATCAAATCGCCAGTGCTAATCTTCACTCTGTACTTGCTGTGTTTCGATGTCTAGCTACCATCTCGGTGAACATTTGTTTGGTAATGTGTTTAATGTAGCATAGATATATGTTTTAAGCTTGATTTTTTACGATTTATAAATGTTGAAATTGTATTATTTTACTGAGTAAGCGTGATAATGTGAGTGAAGTCAAATGTTCAGTTAAAGACAAGTCTCACGACTGTCTATCAAGTAAGTGGTGCTTAGTTACGACCCTGCAGTGCCAAACTGCGTTCATACTTTGCGGCGGCGTCCACCAGCGACCAGGAGTACGGTAGTGTGTGGTAGGACGGTACGGTTGCACAATTTCAGGATGCCTAATCCAGCTGTCGCTTCCCTCCTACTTCCGCAGTGCAGTGTTGTTACCTGCTGTTATCCTCATACTCTAATTTCGGTCGTCGGTGGACGCTGGGAGACGCTGCTAGACCTGCCGTCCTATGTCTATACTTTCCTAGTCGCTGACGCTGACGGACGCTCAAAACGCTGATGGTCGCTGGTGGACGCTGCCGCAATGTACGAACGCAGCCTAAGTAACGCTCCAATTAAGAACTACAAAAACCATCGCACTAGTATGAATGAAGACGTTCTTAATAGTCACATAGTCTCAATGGACATCTCATCCGAAGTTGCTGGCGAATCGAAAAAGAACTTAACGAAAAGCTCCAGTTATAGTCTCGGGTCACGTCGCCAACTCTAGTACTGGGGCCGGGCGCTCCAAAAGGCGAACTTTAAACTGATTCCGAGGTACCTGCGCAATGTGGCGAGCAATAGGTCGCAACTGCTGGTAGCATGCTTTCCTCAAAGGCGCACGGCATCGGGGCAGTACGGGGGTAAAGCATAGGTACCTGCAGTTTTCATGAAATCTGTTCTTCTCGAACACGTCCACACAATCCTCAAGCGCTTGCGTCGATGCCAAGTTTCCGTAACGAAACACATACTCAGCATTGCGAGATCAACTAAAAGTGAGAGGGCGCAGACAACTTAGCATGATTCATCTAGCGGCTTGCAGTGGCTCGCAGCGCCGCATCGCGAGGCGGGGTATCACCCCCTGCAGCCCCGTTCCCGTATATTTTTGAGCGGAGAGCGTGGCACGCTGATGCAGCTGCGGACCTATCACCTCACATATAGCAAGAATCAGGATCCAGAGACGTTTCTCTTGAAGCACTGGGGCTCGGGTAGTTCTGCAACGGTCACAATTCCAGAACGGCGAGAGACGCAGTCAATAGTTCAGAGCCATGGTTGGGATGGAATGGCAAGGGCCAGGAGATGGGTGTACGGATTGCCTTCAACGTTTGCGAAGCTCACTTTCCAACTTAGGTAGGTTACTCCCATGGTCCTTGTACTACCACTTCTTTCAAAGAAGGCGAATACCCAACCAGAGTTTCACGTTCACCTAGAAATCACATATTTCACATCACCAATCAACACCTTTTTGAACACGCAGTTTATATGGTCACAATCAGTGGGGAGGTGTTAGGAGGCATTAAATAACTGAACACATTTGCGGGTTTTCCATTAGGTTAGAGAAGAAGTCCTGCAACACACGGAAGGTAAATTTATTGGATATCCCTTCAACGATCGAGAACTTCACTTATTAAGAAAATTACCAAAGGTACCACAAATCCATCGGTTGGGCAGCTTCCCATTCTGTTCTCCCAGATTTCGGGCGGCTACGATGGAAGGATACCATTCTCGAGATGATATCACTTATCAGTCTACAGAATTTCCAAGTGATGCTTAGGGGTGTAAGAAGGTCGTATTTGGGAGCTGGTGAGTAAGCTGACCAGGGAAGGTCAACAGGTCCGTGCGGCCATTTGCAAAGAGGGACACACAGTTGCACGCTCTGAGACCATGAGCTCATATCCACCTTCAGAATTTGCGAAACGTTCTCTGAACGAAGTCATTGAGGTTTTTCTCACAGTTTTTTTGAAGGCGTGCTGGCACCCACGGGCCGGCACCAGCTGGCGCCGGAGGGCCAGCACCTGTAGCACGCGGAAATAATCAACTTCGAGCAAAACGGGTGTAATATTCGTGTTCAGGGGGTCAAATAACCCCAGGAGTGGCAATCTAGCA